TGGATATAATTACCTTAAGCAATAAGGTCTAAAATTGCCTAATTTTTAAAAGGCATTCTACACGATCGGGCAACCACCAACCGTCGTGACCTTGGTCGAGTTGATGTAAAAATGGACAGTGTAGACATCGGTTGTCCGACCAATAGTTTGGTTGATGTCCGACGGCCTTGGTCGCGAGCGCATCCCTCACGACACGTCGGGTCCGTGGTTGATCCCGACCGTGTGGAAAGCTGTCGGCCGACGAGAGCGCCTCAGTGCGCGCTTGGCAGTCGCCACGGGAGAACGTTTAACGGTACTATGGATACGAACGGAAGCAAGGAACGTGAGGTTCTGACCGAATTCTTGTCTTTATACTGTGATTTACTATGTCTTTTTGGATATTGGATCGGAGTTATATAAGGATAGGAATAAAAAATGCAAGCATAGGAGCTTTTCAAGGACAAGCTTCAAGAAATAGACCCGAAGCAAACATCGCTGCAACGAAGAAAGATTGAGCATATGATATCGGCTTTTAAGAGAGAGTAAGAAAAGGCGATTTTTTTATAATACTTACTATACTATTTGTTTCAAATAAAGAAGTTTACCGCGATGACATTATAGCAATTTTTTGCTAGTTAATGTCGTTCGTTGCCAATTATTTTATTCTTTACTGAATTTCACAGACAAATAAAGCATTAGTTTACTTCCATTTTTAATGTAGGTAATGATTTTAGTAGAGACAACTGACAAGTTGAGTCAACCACGCGACCGTGTAGAACGAATACAAAAATCTGTTGACTCGACCAAGGTCACGACGGTTCGCAGTTGGTCCCGACCGTGTAGAACGCCTTAAAGTTTGTGTAGTTGTCAAATTTAAATAATCTTTAGTAAAATAGACACAAGACTTGGATTTGTATGGGTTTTAAAACAACAACGGAATAACTATAATCAGACGCAACGATATACGGACGTCGCGGTAGAAGCTTTACAAATCGACAAACGATACTACAAACAATTTGATACTACAAACACTACCCAATTACTTTCAAACTACAAAGATTTTATATTGTAACGACAAAATAATCCAAATGTAACACAGCGTCAGCGTACTGCTGTGGCGTAACTAGCCTATATATTTTATATGAAACACTAATAAGCTAAATAAACACTAACAAGCCAAATATTAGTTTATAATTCTACTAGAGATAAACCAATATTTAAATCACACACTTATATAGGGTATTTTTGAAACGCTCCCGAAAACGAAGACAGATGATAGTACTAAAGAAACCTTTGATGATGAGACGAAAATAAAAACGATCCCGGTGAAAAATTACCCCCGGGGTCCATCCATAATATTGCTTTGCTTTCAGTAATTTTGACTGTCCATTGCGTGTTCGCTATGAGACAGAGAGAACACGAATCAGTGTATTTCGAAATGAAAGCAATCTGCCAAGTGTTGACGTTACATACTAAGGCTACGAGGTCATTACCTGTACCTTGCGCGCGGGAAATTTGAAATAGTTTGAAACAGTTTACGGTTTATTTTATTAGTTGATATTATTGATTGAGCAGTTGATAGGATTGGTCTGTACAAAAACATGCTCCCAAACATCAATAGTGAAGCGTTCACCAGTGGATGACTGAGGCCGTAAGGTTGGCAATGACTAGGCGAGATCGAGCATTTGTGAAATTGAAGCATCGTACACATGACAGCTGGGATTGCTACAGTTTGCTAAGAAACATATGCAATGGTACGAAATTTTAAACGCCGTTATATCCATAGTAATACTGTAAACTCTTCAACCGCTGATGTGTGGAAATTTCTTAAAACTCTAGGTAGTAAAGCCGTTACATCTGACCGTGGTCCATCAATCACTCTGGATGAAATAAATCGTCACTTTATTTCTACTTCTCCTTTGGATCCCACAGTTCGTTCTATGACAATAGCTTGCATTCAATCCATGCTATCTTCTCCTATTCCTTTTTTTCTCTTCTTACCTGACTGAGGATGAGATACAGAAATCTGTATTAGCTATTAAATGCAAGGCTATGGGTTGCGATGAGGTTAGTAAGGTTATGGTATCTATGATCTTTGAGTGCCTTTTACCTGCAATCACACATATCATAAACTATTCCCTTGACTCAGGTCAATATCCTATTCGGTGGAAAAAAGCATTTGTGCGACCACTTCCTAAAATACCTGATCCCTCATTAGCTTATTACCTACCCATTTTCAACCAATTTCAATATTGCCATACCTATCTAAAGTTCTGGAAACCTGTGTTCACAAGCAAATCTCTATGTTCATAACCAAACACAATCTACTGAATAAATATCATTCAGTCACAGACGACATTCGAATGGGAATGGATGAGCAAAAGCTTAGAGTAGTAGTAGTAGTGCTTGTTGACTTTTCAAATGCTTTTAACACAGTCGACCACGATATCCTTATAGCCTTTCTAACTAACCTTAGATTCTCAATTCCAGCTTTGGAATGGTTTTCATTCTATCTTCGCGGCCGCCAGCAACCAGTACGATTAGGATAAGAGTTCTCAAGATAGGCTGACATTGAAACAGGCGCGCCGCAAGGCGGAATACTTTCCCCTATAATGTTTTATTCATAAATTCTGTCACTTCAGTTCTCAACTGTTCGTACCATCTGTATGCAGATGATCTTCAGCTCTATCTAGTATTAACGACTTTCTACGATTATCTAGTATCTAGTGTTAACGACCTTAACGGTAATATTCATAAACTCAACCACTAACTCGATGCCATAAGAGATTGATCGTACAGACATGGTGTTTTGGTTAACCTGTCCAAATGCAAAGCAATGGTTATATTAAAGTAGCAGAATGTTAGCTAAGATTAATAACGATAATCTAACGCCCGTTTTACAATGGTACGTTGCTGCCATTTTGTAAGTCTGTCAAAAATCATGGCTTACATATAGACCATACCTTAAGCTGGGGAGTGCAAGTTGCCAGAACAAGTCGTAAAGTAACTGCCACCTTACGTTCTCTTTGTGCTCTCAAAAACTTTCTGCCTTTAAAAACTAAACTTATGCTAATCCAGACTAATATTACCCATTATTGATTATGTGGATGTGTGTTACCCAGATCTGTCTCAATAACTTCTCGATAAGTTGGAGCGCCTTCTCAACAATTGATTAGATTCATTTTCGGCTTATGTAAGTATGACCATATTTCCCAGTACCGATCTAAGCTTAAATGGCTTTCTATTCGTCAAAGGCGTAGCTCCCGAACTTTGCAAGTACTACATTCAATTTTAAATGCCTCAAATTCTCCCTCTTATCCTAAGGATAACTTTCAATATTTGTATTCTACCAACGATAGAGTTCCCCATTCCTAAAATAGTCTCAAAATTCGTATTCCACCACATAAGAGTGGTTTCTTTCATTCCTCTTTTACTGTACAGTCCATACTACTCTGGAATGCCTTGTATGTTGATATCGAGAAAACTACTAACAACAATTATTTTAAAACGACTAGTTCGAGAATTCTATCGTAAGAATAATACCACTTGACTATCCAACTCTTGTTTTTTTTTATTTCACTTTATAAGTGATATTTAGTATAATGTATTTTAATATGTATTGTTGTTTTATTTTTTTCTCATAATATTTTATTTATTTATAGATTTTGTATAGAAGTACCCGTTTATATGTTTATTATTTATTCTATATTATATATTAAGTAATATTTTACTGACTATATCTGTTCTATTCATTTGCATTTTATTTTGTTTATATCCTTATTATTTATTTATAAGTGATTGTTTACACCTGCCACAGTTTCTCAAATCATCCAGGGTTGACTGGCAGAGAATACCATAAGGCATTAATTCCGCCCTATATATCCCTTAGTATAAGGTGTATAATAAAGATTAAATAAATAAATAAATAGGGCAGCCCGGCTTCTCGGCTTCTATGGAGATCTATGGAGGCTCCGTTACTGTTCTATACATAGGTCTTTTCTATAGATTGCCCCATAGGGGGTATATTTGCAATAGTTCCCTCTCTTAGTAAAGTTGGCCAATTGCAATTTTTTACTACTTTGAGCTGTTATCAGGAATACTCAGCTGCCTGTCTCCTGTTTCACTTCTCTGTCACCTTTAATGGCGCGTCGTCATTGAAGTAAATTCTCTTAATATATAATTCCTTAAACATTTAAAAAATAATTATTTTAAGGAGTGACATGTGCGAATTCGATGTGGACCACTGGAACTACACAAATTAACCATTTCTTCGGTCACTGTTGTATTTGAGCGTTTCGGATGAGGATCATCTTTGGTGGATGTTCTTGTAACTGTAGAAAACGGTACCTAAATCTTGATTGACTTGATCCCGAGAAAAGCTTCTAGCAGCAATTAACAGATACTTAATAACAACTCGTATTTTTAAAAAAACAATCAGCAATATGCTACAACAAACCGCGAACAAATGACTTTGATTATTAAAAACAAAAGATATTCCTGCTTTACCAGCCAGTATTTACTTTTTTAATCTCCAAAAAGTTTGTACCACATTCCTATTTTTTAACACCTCTCTTGTCCTCGCCGTTTGTGTTCGGCGGAATTTAATAAGCAATAATTTTTATAGGCTGTCTCACACATTTCATTGAAAGAAATGCTGGGATATTGACAAAAATAGGTCACTTAGTACCACAACTCACAAGCAAGTTTCGGTGCCCGTTACGATATGAGGCGGACCTAATATAAGATTTTATCATAATTCTCGTAAAACTTGCGTAGCGCAATATTTTCCGAAGCAACTAGTTGAGAAAGAGAACTACGTAATTCTGAATAGTATTCAACAAAATACTCCAAGCTACCGAAACAGAACAGGATTACATTATATTTAATAAAAGCCAGCCACTTTGGAATAATAATATATCACATTCCTTGAACTTACTGTACAACTAAATTAGACTACAGACAAGCACTTAATATATTATTACATTAATATGTATATTTAAATAAATTCATGTGTTGCCAAACTATGAGGCCTTGGAATCCCACTCGATGAGGTAGGCGGGCGGAGAGTTGGGCGCCAGGCGGCGAGCTAGTATGTGGAAAGTCTGTCCGGCGCGGAAGTACGACTGGACGCTCGACTTTAGCGCTGAGAGCTGCTGAGCGTCAACTTCTGCGGCTGCGTTATTCGCTTTATGCGGACTTAGCTGCAAACTCTTTACACTATTGTTATTACTGGCGGTGTTGTTTGTGTTTCGTCGAGCGTTCTCATAGTAGTTCTTTTCCTGGCGCTGTCTCAGTCTTCTGCCGTGAAATTTCACATTGCTCATATTGTGAGCTACTGGTGGGGGTATATCACCGTTTTCGTTTTGCGCTGCAACGACTTTCGTAGACTCATCAGGCAGTGGACAGGATTTGTTAAGCTGAAAGTGATTAACGGATTATAAGTAAATGTTGATAGAATCGGACACTAATTTGAGGAAATTCATTGCATTCATTTTGGTGAGCAGACGTTTCGTTAAGCTAAGCATGTTCGCTAGGCAAAGTTACAATTTTGTTTAATGTTAATTTAATATTACTTAAATGAGAAGATCAAAATTAATATTTAATGATCTCTTATATTTACGCGAACACGACACTGAATAAAACTATATAATATATGCATTTTATTGCGTTTAATTAACTTATTTCCGGCGTTTCGGGTGCTTTACAGCACCTATAGTCACGGGAGGGAGGGAGGGGGGGTCTGAGATGGTTGACACAGATCATAATTAGCCTGGCTACCTTCAGTTTTTGAATATTAATTTTTGGCCCGATCTACGCAGAACGAGCTTACAATATCTTGAAGTCTTGCGAAAGTCTTGAGACAGCAGTGATATGCTTGGGTTTGGATTTAATTTTGTTAATTATAGGATCCCAAGCACATGACAACAGCCATCCATCTTCACAAAAAAAAATAAGGATGCTTTTAAATTTTAATAGCCTCGCGTGCAAGTGCTTTGCAAGGATATGTGGTCTAACAAATTTGATGTAATGGCGGGGACGATCTTGAACTTGTAAAATCCGTATAAATAGATTTGTTCACAGACAGATATTTCACAAAATCCAACTAGTAGTGAATGTATAATTTTCATGTTTTCACATGCTTACAAATTTTTATGTTTTTTATGAAATTTATTAACAAAGGAATACTTTCTTGTTGAGTTGTCAATAAGAATGTTGCCGCAAGTATTATTAATTAAAATTTATTTATTGATTTTTATGAAGAATTTTCTGCACTTATTTTTTAAGAAAAATCACCAATAATATCAAAGAAAATATAACATAGAAAATAATAAGTTTGTAAAAGTTTCGGTCATGCCACCTTTTATTTCGGCCGCAATCTCTATGCAACCAAGTGTAAACACGTGTCAGTCTACTGAAATTATGTTTTTATTCTGCAGCTTATAATGTAAAAAAGATTACGAGATCTCACTAGGGTCGAGACAGCTAGACTAGTTTATTTCAGTTATTTCCATAGCATAATGCCTTATCGGATTTTGCTATGGGAAAATGCTTTAGAAACTATTTTTGTTTTGCAGAAGAGGGTCATAACAGCTATTTACAACCTAAAACGGAGTCTTTTAGAGAAAAAATGAAAGAAATAAATATATTAACTTTGGCATTTCAGTACATTTACGAAAATTTTATGTATGTTCACAAAAACAAATGTGGTTTTAGAAAAAAGTAATATAAACTTTGTAAACACTAGGAATAAACACAAGCTAGTGATACCAGTTTCTCAACTTCATAGAGTAAGTAATTCGTTCTTGGGGCAATATATACGCTAATGCAACGAAATCCCAGAAAATATACAAGGTCTCTCTATTACCAAGTATAAATATTTAATTAAATATAAATTGTATAAAAAGGGTTATTTCAGGTCTGTGCTTTCGGCTTGACCGTTCAGATTACCTACAATTATCCTTCCATGTGTATTTGCCAAATTTACCAATAGAGGGCTCCATAGGGGCTTCGTCTCCCTTACGGCACCCTTAAAGGTTGTGGCGGCTAGCGCATTCGGCTCGCGGTGGCATTGCTCAGTACGCTGTCCTTTTCTGAGTAGTGTGTACATGTCTTTAACGTTGTGTAACGTTCGAAAGAGTGTTTAATTAAGTGTTATATATTGGAATAATGTTTTATGTTTAAATTTATGGACGCAGCCGTAAAGGCTCGCGAAGCGCATCCACCAAAACTCGCGAGACGCAGCCGTCAAGGCTCGTCCAGCAAATAAAAGCAGCTCTCACGGGACTCCTTATCAGCCGAGGTTAGCGATAGCAGTCGCGGCCGCAGCCGTAGCTGAGACCCAACGGCAGCCGAGGTGTAACAGCAGCTGAAGCGCAGCTGAGGTGTCCCTACAGCCGAAAAGCAGCAACGGGCTCGAATAAATTTTTGCGCGACGCAAAATGTTCTACAAGATGTCCGAATATCTTAGCCTCAATACAAGCGCTAGTATGAATAAAACGCTCGCAGATATTCTGTCTCGAACAAAACACTCAAATTTGGATAGAGGATATCTCTTAAACTTAAGCCAAGGATTGTGCGCACCGTCAGGATAGCGTTTGCTGGGAAAAATGTTAGTTTGTCTCAGCCGGATATAATGCAAAAACTGACGGAGCGCATAGACGACCTGAAGCAGAGAATCGCTGCTGCCTGTGGTCAGAGCCCGTAAATCACATTGAGGGCCCTTGGACGGAAGTTGTGGCGAGTCAGTGTGCGGGTATAACGCCCATGAACCCCATCATCATAACGCCGGATGACGTAGCTGAGGCGGTCCGTAGGGCCCCGAACTGGAAAAGTCCGGGGCTTGACGGGCTGCATCACTACTGGCTGAAGGGGTTCATGGTGTGTCATACTGTGCTCGCCCGACAGTTTCAAGAGGCTCTCAACCAGAAGTCGCTCCCAAGCCTCTTCACTACTGGGATCACTCATTTGGTTCCTAAAGACCAGGGTACCACAGACCCGAGCAAATACCGCCCCATCACGTGTCTACCGACCACAAGACTCTAACATCCATTTTGAGCGCGAGAATCACTCGTCACCTGGACTCAAATCAGGTGATGTCGCGCGCTCAAAATGGATGTCGGGGCGGCGGACGTGGAACCAAGGAACCACTCTTCATTGACGCGGTCATTGGCAAAGTGGTGAAACGCAACCGTCGGAACTTCTCCGACGCCTGGATAGACTACAGAAAGGCATTTGACTCGATGCCCCATACATGGCTAAAGAGGGTCTTCGAGCTGTACAAGATTGACTGTACAGTTCGAGACTTCCTCGGGCAGTGTATGGGGCAGTGGAGTACGATCCTCTGTCATCTAGGCGAGCGGATGACGATGCGGAAAGCCGCATAAGGATAAGAAGGGGTATATTCCAGGGCGACTGAGTCCAATCTGGTTCTGCCTCTCTTTGAACCCTGTCAGTACTTTACTGGAGGGCTCCGGGAAGCCCTGAAATCCCCAGCTTCGGAAAGGGGGTAAAAAAGTGACCCACCTTTTCTATATGGATGACCTCAAATTATTCGCCTCCAGTCGCTCCCATCTTATGGAATTGCTAAACATCACTTGTGAATTTAGCAAATCTATTGGAATGGAGCTGGGGACGGATAAGTGTGCGGTCCACCATGTTGAAAGGGGATGGGTTGCTAACTCTAAGGGCATAGACTTATCTATGCCCGTCAACTTAAGAACCCTTTCCGAGGCTGAAACATACCGATACCTGGGTATGTCACAGAACATCGGTATCGATGAGGCTGGTATGAAACAGTCAGTTTGCGACATGTTTTATGCACGCTTGACCAAAGTGCTTAACAGCCTTTTGTCCGGTGTGAATAAGGCACACGCATATAACGGCTGGGTCATGCCTGTCCTCATGTATACCTTTGGCATACTCAGGTGGACTCAGACTGAACTTAACGCCCTGGATAGAAAAGTCCCACTACCATAACGTCCCACAGGATGCATCATCCGAGATCGTCGGTAATGAGGCTGTACTTGCCGCGAAAGCATGGTGGGCGTGGCTTCCTGAGCGCGCTCACCATGCACAATCGCGAAGTGTGCAGCCGCTGTGATTACTTCCTGGCGAGATCGGATGATCCATTTTATAATGACGTCATTTCTAGTGATAAAGGGCTTACCCCTCTATCCTTAGCCAACGAGCAATGGCAGGACCCGGCAGTACAAAGCATTTCCGACCGGGAGGCCGTATGGAAGTAGAAGGAGCTCCACGGGAGGTACTACAGGGCTCTACATGAGCCCTTCGTAGATACAGTCGTCTCCCTCAACTGGCTACGTTTCGGTGACCTTTTCGGGGAAACCGAGGGTTTTGTCTATACAATACAGGATCAGGTTATTAAGAACAATTATAGATTATAGACTATCGGAGATACATCCTAAAGGATGGCACCGTCGACGTCTGTCGAGCTTGTCGCCATCCTGGTGAGTCACTTAGGCATGTCATCTCCGGTTGTTCGGCGCCGGAAGCCGTGCTCAAAAATTACCGCGCCAGGCTCTACTGGGATCGGGCCATCATCACAGACAGGACTATTCTTGCGAATAAGCCTGATATTGTGCTGATGGACCGGGCACAGTCAAGGATATTTTTGATAGACATTACCATTCCGTATGACGAGAAACTCGTGAAAGCCGAAACGGATAAACGGACAAAATATCTGGACCTGGCTCACGAGGTAACCGACATGTGGGGTGGTCTGCCGGCCGAAATTATTCCTGTAGTCGTCTCTGCGAATGGGCTAATCCCAGTCAGCCTCTCGGGTCATCTGAGGCGACTGGGACTCCGTGACGGACCGCTCCGCGCTCAAATGCAGAAGGCGGTGCTCCTCGATACCGCCCGCATCGTCCGCCGGTTTCTTTCCCTTTCCTCCTAACCCTCGGTCGTTTGGTCTCCCCTGCCGAGGGCTTCCATCTGGTTGGATCTTATTTATTATTTTTGTATTTATTTTATTTTATTGATATTTATGTATATTTATCTTTTCATTTTAACTTAATATTATATATTTATAGAACCCAATCAGATTTGAAAATTATATAGATACCCCAAAAATAATAATAACAGATAACATAAGTTCTTCAGATCACAGTATGCTGAAGGTTGTGGGCCGGCAGATGCTAAACATCTCTCTGAAAGGTCAAGCCGGAAGCACAGACCTGAAATATACAACATTTTCTACCCCGAAGGAAGGAAAACGATTATTTCGGATCTTGCCAAAGGCTTGATCTGAGTAAGGGTGTTTTCACATGACACCGCGGTGGCAGCGATACCGTGGTAGCCGCGGCGCCGCCGCATTTATCATTCTAGGATTTATATGGAGCCTTACACACGACGCCGCGTCGGCGGCGGCGAGCGGTGCCGTAGTTCTCTCAACTTT